GTCCAGGGTGCATCCCAGAACAGAGCTGGCCTTCCTGATGAGTTTATCCAACCTCTTCCTCTCAGCTGTCAATAAACTGCTGCTCCAACATACAACACTGTAAAAAATGACAGATGTCACCACAGAGTCATAGAAGGTCTTTAAAAGCGCTCCCTGTACTCCAAATGACCTCAGCCGCCTCAGCAGGTAGAGTCTGCTCTGACCCTTCCTGTAAAGGGCGTCAGTGTTGTGGCTCCAGTCCAGTTAATTATTCAGTTTATACCATCACTGTTTGATAGTAAACAGGTTAAGCATTAAAAAAAGAACAGATATCAAACAAATTATGAAGCAGTTCTATATGAACTTGTCAGAGTGTAGTAACACAGAACGGAAGATGGGGGAATTTTTATATAACGGTACCTTTTGTATCGTTATCAGAGGGAAATTTGAAATATCCCAATGACAGAAGAGGAAGTTTGAATTGTTATCAATCTTTTAAAGCAGTGGTGCCCAACCTTTTTTGCGCTACGGACTGTTTTAAAAACCCTGAAAACCATAAATTTCACACCCGAGCCTCAAGTCTCGTGGTCCGGTACCAAACTGCTGGGGACCGCTGTCTTAAAGGAGGAAAAGCATTAGGACCCAATGGTTTCTGCCCAGAATTTTCTTTTAAAAAAATAAGTCACCTTCTTACCGGACCATTGACCGATATGTTTTTAGATTCTTTCAAAAATTTATATCTTTCCCCAACACTTAGACAGGTTAATATTTTGTTAATTTTAGAGAAAAATAAATCACCAGATAGATGTGGATCTTACAGGCCGATCAGCCTCATCAATGTCGATTCTAAATTACTTTTTAAGCTATTAGCGATGAGAATGGAGGGCACTCTCCCATTGCTTATAGACCCTGATCAAACAGACTTTATCCAAAATCGTTTCTCATTTACAAATATTAGACGATTATTAAATATTATACAATATTCAAATCAGAGAAATTCTAAAGTTTACATTATATATTTAGATGCAGAAAAGGTATTTGACAGAATAGAGTGGACATACTTATTTAAGAAGATTTGGCTTAGGAGACGATTTTATTGCATGGATTAAAACTATCTACAAACTTCCAGAAGCCTGTGTTATAACAAATGATGTTCAATCATCAGCTTTCCCACTGCAAAGAGGTGCAAGGCAAGGCTGTCCTTTCTCCCCTCTCCTCCGCTGCATTAGCACTTGAACTTCTACCTGAGGCCATTTGACAGCACCTGGATTTGCATGGTATAACAGTGGGTGGAACAAATCATAAAATAGCATTGTATGCTGATAATATTTTGTTGTTTTTATCAAAACCTATCAATGTCAGCCATTGTGTCTATTATATGTGAGTTTTGCTCATTCTCTGGTTACACAATTAATGTTGGGAAATCACCCACATAGCCGACAGGTCTGGCCTGGATCTGGTGTCTAGCCAGCACTGCTGGCTAACTTCTGGCATGATAAGGTGTATGTCATCCAGATATGGGCCAGGCCTGGCATAGATGGCATAGATTACAGTTGTAGCCACAGCTGCCCTGGGGCAGACTGACAGAAGTGAGGCTGCCATATTGCGCCATCTCTGGCCATCACCAGTAGGCAGTAGGTGAAGTGTCTTGCCCAAGGACACAACGACTGAGACTGTCCAAGCTGGGGCTCGAACCCGCATCCTTCCAATTACAAAAGGAGTGAACGTACTCCCCTTTTCATGATACAGAGTCTTAGCAGACCTATATCTCTAAGTAGGGATGCACCGATACCGATACTGGTATCGGGTATCGGGGCCGATACTGTAAAATGTGTGTGTACTCATACTCGTAAAAGTTAACC